TGATAAAGTTAGAACAAAAACAAAAAGGGGGCCGAAACTTATGGAACGCCCTTTATACTCTATAAATGAATCTAATCGATCAGAAATATACTAATGAGCTTTGTATAGATCTAGAATTGAAAAAGTCTAGATTTTTTTCAGGTCCACTTTATTGCGTCTATTCTGGATGAAACAACGAAGGGGACAGAATCTATTCATTAGCACCTCCGATTAGATTCCTTCTTTCCATGCAAAACTTTAAATTCTAATATTCAGATCAGAAGTTAGAATTTACAGACTTTCGAAAAGATATAAAAGTTACCATTGATTATGCACTATTTTCCGTTGGTATGATGTTCGAAGGGGAATGAAGAAACCACAAAATAAGAACTTAAACATACACTAACTATTATTTTCTTCGAAAATATAAAGGAGTTCCACAAAAATAAATAAAAATGCTTTTCTTATGAATGCCGTCGATACCCTTGTCAGTTGAAAGGTCTAAGACCAAGGAAGTGCTATTTTATTTAGATTTCAAGATTATTGTCTGTACTCTATCATCTGTTAATCTAATGCATTGTTAAACGAGAATGAATGTTGGCTCTAGATTTAACTGAAATTAAATATTGTAGAATAAAATTCAAGTAAAATAGAATGAAAAATTTTCAAGAATATATAAATTAAACTTTTGTTTGACATTGAGAAAAAAATTCAATTCTAATTATTTCATATTAAACATACTTTAGTTATGAACGAAATTTTATTTTACAGTGTAACTCTTGAAAATTCTAGAATATTTATTTCAATTAAGTACTGATGAAAGTCAAACTTAAATTGAATGTTCTTACGAAGCGGTTCAAGTTTTGAACAGGCTTAGTAAAGTTTTATTAAATTGTAAAATCTTTTCTCTTTCAGATCTTTTAATTCGGTTGATTTTTTAAAAAAAAGTTAATAGATGTTAGCAATGAACAATATTGAAGTATTTTTTTTTATTGATTAAATTTAAAAAAAAGTTTACAATCGAATAGTAATGAATCTATAAGTTTTTCGTGTCACGATTGTTGTCGGTGGCGCATGATGCTGTATCACGTTAACAGCATCAGGTTGATGACTTCGTGAATCATGAAAATATGTAATATAAAGTGTTCGAAGATTCTTCATCATATATACAAGTTCTAATATACTCTGTATATCTGTTACTTCAATTCGAAGTTCTTCACATTGCATGCCTAGAGGTGACTTGTTCAACATTTCGCATTGTTGAATATTGAAACAATGAGTACGACGGAATTTGTTAACTCCTTGTAGATCAAGATAACGAACTGATGGACATTTAATATCGAATGGAGGCATTTCTTCTATGAACCATGATCGAAATTTCAATGATAATAGACGAGGCATTTTGTCGAATAACGATTGTAATTGTAATGGATAATGATTCAAATGTGATAATGTGAGTGATAATAAATGATTAAAGTTTGAGATGATTGATAAAACTTTATAATCAAACGGTAGTTCAAGTTCAAGATCTTTCATATAATTAAATTGTACACGAGAAAATTCTGTGTTTGTAAACAACGAAGAATTGTACCATAGACAATGAACATGATCATACGAAAAATTGATACGAGATGGACAGGTCGATTTAGTACGATAATTTCCTTGAAGAACATTTTGTGGAACTTGTTCAAAAGAGAATGGTAATGAATATAAACAAATAAGTTTGTCATCATTGGGTTCTGTCCAAAGACATCCAATAAACCATTGATGTTCTTCAATCCAAAATGGGCTACGATATGCATCTAATAGTTTATTGATTTGCTTTTTCACGTTTGTTATATTATTGTTAAGATTGAACAATATGTTTAACCGAAATATTTTTAGATTTGGCAAATATTTGACAATAATTTCTTTCCATTCATGTCCATTAATATAAAATGTCCATGCTCGAATATTTAAATAATATAAATTTGGCATCATATATAGAAGATTCACCAATATATTTCGTGACCAAACATTATTTAATTTAAGTTTTTTCATTGGTAAGTTTCCTAATGATGGTAACGTTTTGTTTTCATTATCATTATCGAAATTAGAAGTAAAATCAATGAATGTTGTAGAAAAATATTGAAGATAAGGTGTCTTCATCATCAAATGAGTTAATTGTTTGGATGTCCATTCCGGATTTCTAATATATAAATGTTGTAAAGATGATGAAATAACTGTAGGAAGAACAAAATAGACATCACCATTCGGTTTTACGTCCCAATAACAATAGATTAATTTGGGTAGACTCCAGATTTGATTCATCATCTGTGTTGCTTTTTTCACATCGTCTGAATTCAAACAACAATCAACAAATTTCAGATGTATCAGATGTTGAAGTTGCTGTATGCCAAAAGAAAAAAATTCATCAATTTTTTGATGTAATTCAATACGAAATAATGTTAAAACTTTTAAAGATGTAAATTGATCAAGATTAATATTATAATTAAAAAAATCAGCTGCTTGACCTGGTGTACCATCATCATCGGACAGATGAAGATAAATAATTTTATCATAAATCAATGGAATATAATTTTGACAAACGATTTTTAATTCTTATCTTGATAATGAACGAAAATCAAAACGATAATTTTGAAAATAGATAAGAATAAGATTATTGAAATAAGAATTTAAATTGTAAAAACCACGAAATAAATCTAATGGATTAATAAATTCGAATAGATAAAGTAATAATTCATTTTCAAAAACTTCGAGATTTATCTAGAAAAAGTAATAATAAAATAATATAAGGGGTGTTCCGGAAGTTCTGAAACGATTTTAAATTTCATCGTTCTCGCATTCTGCAAAAGCAAATTTGTTGAAACTTTGGTAGATTGTTGTACATATATAGTACTACATAACTACAATGTTTGAGATCTATAGGTTGTACTATGGATGAGAAACTGTAACAACACTGACATGTACTATTTTTTAAATTTTCCTGGTCATCTTCGAGGTGTGCAACATTTTTTTATTTCGTCTATATCTTGGCTTAGGTAAATGATAAAATCTTGAATTTTTCTTTAAAAGATGCGCCGTGAAAAGCTCTACAAAAAGTGCAATAACAAATCCCTATTGACTTTGTGTTAATGGTTTCTGCCATACTCAAAATGAAAAACCTGCATGATAGTACTACTTCTCACCATATTATGCGTAATAAAAAAAGGTTTGGAAGACCTTTCTGCTTTCCAATAGGAATTTGTTTATATAGCTTTTGTAGAGCTTTCGACTGTGCATCTTTTGAAAAAGAAATCAAGATTTTATCATTTTTTCAAGCTGAGATACATGCAAAACAAAAAGTTCCTCCAAACATTTTTTATTACGCACAATATGGTGAGAAGTAGTACCATCATGTAGGTTTTTCATTTTGAGTATGGCAGAAACCATTAACACAAGTCAATAGGGATTTGTTATTACAATTTTTGTAGAGCTTTTTACGGCGCATCTTTTAAAAGAAAAATTCAAGATTTTATCATCTACGTAAGCCGAAATATAGATATTTTGGTAGACCCGGAATACAGGAAAATGTTAAAAATAGTACATCATAGTGTTGCTACAGGTTCTCCTCTACAGTAGAACCGATAGATCTCAAACTTTGTAGTTATGTGCCTCTACATATGTGCAATAATATGTCAAAGTTTCAAAAAGTTTGTATTTGTTGAATGCGAGAACGATAAATTTTAAAATCGTTTCAGAACTCCCGGAACACCCTTTATTATTCAATTAAATTTCATTTCAAGTTTCTGTTTCCAATACGTTCGAAAAAATAATTGTTTGATGTTTTGATTCGCTTTAAAATTAAATCAATAAGAATTTTTTTTTTAAACTAATTCTTCTATATACACTCATCACTCTTTTTCAAGACTAATATAATCCTATAAAATGACAATTTGGTTTTAGTCGTGAGATTTTTTTGCAAAGAGAAAACAATCGATGTTATATGTCACAAGACGTTTGCCGTAATTTTTCTTCATCTTAGAATGATTCAAAGTTTCTCAAACTATCATACGTATATATATATATGAACGAGCAACCATCGAACATCGAAACTTGATCTTTTTTATATCAATAATATCATATAAATATTAATTATTAATCTGTCACTTTCGATAGAACTTACTCTGATGTTTTAATTTATTTTCAAAAGAGACGAGATTTCCCTAATGTAAAAAAAAATCACTCAATCATGCATGTAAGATTTTCATTTAGTTAACATTTAAAAGTCATCCTTTTCTTCTAAGAAAACTTTTGTATGCTTGATGGATGAATTAAAATACAAGAATAATTTCTATTAAGAGATAAAATTTAGTTATTGATATTTATGTGATAACGAATGAAACAACTACTATAGTCTTCGGAACCCGATAGAAAATAATCCGATTTTTTTGTTAATATATTTTCTATGAATGTCGGTCGTGTTAAATTAACTCGAAGTGCAATCTCAATTTCAATACATTTCTTTAATATTTGAGAAAAAAGAATCGATATTGTATTAATAAATTATTTAAATGTCCACAAAACCGAATACTTCTCTGTATCATCATCATAAAAATAAACGTAAAAACGAAGCTTACTTCATTCATATAAATAAAACGATTCAATTATCTAATGCCTTGTTGTAGAATAAAACATTAATTGATAAAATTTTAAATGCTTCTATAGTTGAAATTATGCATAATAATTTCTGTATGTAAGTATTAAGAGAGCCTCCATGATATCATCGAGCATGACCTCAGTATACGAAGCACTCGTCAAAATTTAAATTTTTGATTTTTT